ATCTACAGAAAATAAAATGATTTTAATAAGAGAAATTCTATTTGTATATATTATTTTTCTTGTTTGTAAAAATAGAACAAAATATTGAGGGGATTTATCGATCATATAACATAATTTTTTAGAAGGAAAATATTTTCTTTTTCAAAATTTATATTGGTCTTTAGGGGGACATACTTCTAGTTTAAATAATCAAAATATGAAATGAAATTGTTGAAGTATGTGTATACTCGTACATATCAGAAATTTTAGTCAAAATTACATCAGAGAAAATAATGTTGTATATAAAGAAAAGAGAAAGAGATTTGAGAATATAAAATTCAATAATACGAAGTGAAATAAGTTTTAATTAAAATAAACTTTTAAAATTATATATGATAGCGTACCCGATGCTTTAAAAAAATTTAATATAATTTAATTTTTGTACGCGAGTATAAACCCCGATGAATTATAAAAGTATTAAACACATTCATGTGAGTAATCATAATTATTTTTGAAAAATACTCACTTTAGTTTGGTTTGCCAAAGAAATTATTTTAACACTTCATTTTTATGACCTCTATTATGATATAAGAAAATTTAGTTTGTGCATTTTAAAATTTATTTTAATTTTTTCTTTTGTTGAGAATAATTTATCTAGTTTTTCGCTGACTATATTGCACAAGGTGGTGGAAACGTCCTAATTTAAGAACTTACCAAATATGTCTTTGTTAAAGCATTTAAAGCATTCATGTGTTTTAATTTAATAATTACTAAATTATTTATTTATTTTTTGGTTTAATAGGTGTATTTAAATCAATTTGAGTATTTCGTTGACTTCAATCTTGCAGATATATATATGTATATATATATGCGTTAAATTAAGCATGTACAAATTTTTCTACGATCGAAATATTCATTATTTGCACATTTTATACACGTAAGTATAACAAACTACATTGAACTTTGAACTTTGCAGATTTTTATGCATATAAAATGCTGAAAAACTTTAGATTTTGTGTACCTTTTGTAGAGTTTTTAATCACTGATTGGCTTTTTATGAAAATCTATCTTAAAGAACTGCAAATTGATTTTACTAATATTAATTGATAGGTTGATCTCCAGAAAAACATTTCACGAAATGATTTGTGTTTAAAATTCTAGACACTACGAACAAGTGTTTTTCTGTAATTGATTGTTGTAGTCTTAGACTTAATTAAATGCCATACGACATACAAACCTAGTTAAGAATATTATGGAAGAAATTTGTGAAAAAACTTTCTCCAAAGGATTTACCAACACAAAATATATTGCGGATTTTACCTTCAGATTCCCCATATGAAAAATCTCTTGCATTCATAGAATTAGTTCTAAATGTTTTGGGTGTTAGAAATACACTTTTATTAAAAATTAATATCATTATTCTTACTTACTTATTTTACAAATTCGAATTGTTTAAAATTATTAAATTTTATTTTTGTTTTTTTATTTCTTTTCAGATCATTTTGAAAATAAATTGAATCATCATTAAATTGGATAAGTAAACACTTCATAACCTATATATGTACAATAATATTTAATATTAAAAAATTAAATTATTTTAAATATTGAAATATTCAAAAAAAAATATAAAAAGTCTGAATAAAGAAAAAATGTTTCTAAATATACAATAAAGGTGTCAAAATTTTTACATTATGTTTCAACATAATCAAATTTATATATGAGTAAACAAATGTTCTGAATATATGTAAAACTATGTGTGTATTCATACAAACATACGTATAATAAGTATTAAGATTTCTAAAGAATTATTTGAATTTTAAAAATTTTGAAATTAATTTTAAATTTAAGATTTTATTTAACTTGAACAAGAAATATCAGAAAAACTTTTTCATTTGCAAGCATAGAATTTTTTCTAAAACAAAATCTTATTATAATAGAATTATTTTGTTGTAAAGATTTAATTACATTTTATATACATACGTACATATGTACAAATATTTGTTAATTTTATATTATTCTTAATCTGATGATATATAAAACTTCTTACATAAATACAAATTATCAATATTGCTATACAGATGTGAAAAATAAAGTGAAAATATTAAACAAATAGAAAATCTTCTAGTTAAAAGCACAATCACTAAAGGAAAAAATAAAACATAGTGCTTCTTTTCTGTATAGAAATTACTTGTACTAAGTAATAAAAGAAAAGTGGGAAGAAAAATCGCAGGAAATCTTCGAAAGTGAAGTACAGATATACATAGAGCACTTAACCAGTAACATGCAATAATATTTAACCATAATATTAATAAATTATGTAATTTAAAAAGTAATATCTAAATGATCTACAATATAACGGAAAAGCAATAATAAAGATAATAAAAAAAGAAGAATAAAACTGAAACTATAAAGATAAAGTAAAATCCTTCATCGAAAAAAAGTGTAATAATAATATACAAGACACATATTTATATATATACATATATATGTATATAAATATATATATATATATGTGAAAATAAAGAGGTTAGAAATTTCTAAAAAGAAAATTATCATATTACGCATAAGTAAATGTATAAGGAAATTTTTTTTTTACACTATTTTATATGTAAACATATCTCGATATACATATACACATATATCAAAATATAATATTATACAATATATATCAAAACATTTACGTAGAAACAAAAAAATATATCCCTATATAAAGCTAAACATTTAATATAAATATACATGGTTACACTTATATATACAGTTAATTTTTTAATAAATATATATGCATGCGTATAACATAACGCAAGGAAATATAATAATATAATCATATATTGATATATACATACAGAATTAACGATATATCAAACCCTTAAATATGGATTTAAGTTTGGAACGAGATAGTACTGCTTTAGGCAGTCTTTTTCAACAAATAATTGCTGATATGAAGGTAAGTAAGTTAATGTCAAAAAAAAATTCCACCTTGTAAACTTTCCAAAATTAATTTTTCTCTTATTAAAATTTTTACTGGAACTGCCTAGTTATTGTATTGATTTATAACACATTAGAGGTATACATAAATATACGTACATTTTTCAAATATGCATAGATTTTTCCAACCAGATGGTGCATTTTATAGAATTTTACTATTTATTTTTTATTTCTCTTACTTCAACGAAAAAAGCAAATTTGATTGTAAAAAAAGCAAATTTGATTGTAAGTGATTTGATTGAATACAGTTCAAAAATTTTGTTAGTCAGTATCAAAAGAAGAGAAATGCTGAGCAACTTTGCAATGTCAATGTAAACTTTCTGTAAAAATTCACATTGACATTCAAACGTATTGGTTGTAAGTACAATGCTTTTAAAAAAGAAATATTCGTAAACTTATTGTTACTAGTTTCGACTTTAATGTTCCTTTTTTTTCCTTTATTTCCATTTAATTTCAGTTAGTTTTCAATGTATTTACGTTTCTTAATATTGTATCTTGTTTCTATAAACAAATAAAATTTTTATTAAAAAAAGAGCTCTAGGCAAGGAAGAATAGTATAAAAACCTTAGCCAACAACAATTGAAAACCGAAAAATAAAAAGAAAGAGGCAAACATAAAAGCAAAATTTTTTATATTCTTATACTTTTTGCATGTTTTTTTTTAATAAAAGCAAGTTATTTTCAAGGATAATAGTATCATCTATACAAAAAGAGAAGAACAAAAAAGATATAAAAAACAAACAAAAGAGAAAAATTTAAAACTAAAATAATATTATAATTTTTCATTCGTGAATTTGCTAGTTCTGTTAAGTTTTGTTGTTAGTAAGAAGGTAATAGTTTTCACTTCATATTCCTCGAAAATTCTTTAAACAGGTTCCCATTCAATTTTTCTTTAAATATTGTTAAGATGTGAGGGTCATTTTGTATAATAATCCCATAATGAATAGGGAACAAAATTGCCGAAAAAAAGTTATTCTCCTCTCGGAAATGAAATAAACCATAGATGAAAGATCTACAAAAAAAAATTCATGAATAAATCTAGCATTAGACTAATCAACTACGTTATTATTTTATTTTCACATAATACTTATTTAAAAGAGTACTCTTATATACCCATAGTTTAACTGTAATAAATTTTGAAGAGTTTTAACCATAATAGTTTTTATATACATAATTTCTCAACTTATTTATTTAAACTACATTTTATATATAAGTAGTTTAAATTTCTTAGCAAATTTATAACTTGCTGAATGAAGGTATAAAATAAATTGGATTAAACCAATAATTTGTAAACTAGAATTTTTTCTTGAAGAAGGGAAAATACTATTTCTTAAACAATCTATTACCGCAGGTGTAATCAACAATGTCAACTGACAGTAACCGACCGGCATTCAACAATTTATGCTAAAAAAATTTCTATATAAACTTCTTTATATACAACTTTTGTATGCAACCGGTTGACAACTGCTTTAGCCACAAATTATTTTTGATTTGAATATTTTTAGAATTAATCAATAAATAGTAGTTTCCCTTCAAAATTTTCAATTTTACACAAAAGACGAAATCAGCAGTTGAAATTTTTTTATTACATTATTACATTTTTAATTGACGTTGTTAATTATGTTGCATTTGTTTTTTACATTATAGGTCACACTGCTAATTGAGATATTTGTTTACAACTTAAAAAGCTACAGTGCTTTTGTTAACTGCAATGAAGATCAAGATGCAAAAGAATTCAACGCAAAGTTTACATTCATAAAAGCACAACTCGTTTATATTCGCAATATTTCACATTTTATTTTTTTAAAAAATTTCCTCAGAGTAGCAATTAAATATTGTGGTGAATAAAATGTTTTTCTGAGTAAAGAAGTTTCGGAAGGCTTCATTATTAAATTTATATTTTATTTATATTTTATTTATTGTTTGCCATATTCAAAAAAAATGTGAGAAGAGGAAGATTGCGTAACTTCTCATATGTAAATCAGGATTTTTTTCTCATGAACTATGATAACACTGCTAAGATTTACTCTTTCAATATCATTTAGTTTTCTGTTTCAGTTTAAAAATATTATTTAAATTAGTTCAATAATATATTCTTGAATACAGACATATTTTGCTCTTAAATTACAAGCAGCCTTAATATTAACAAATCACTTATTTATAGAAACTGATTAAAAGTTGATTACCCAGAGCAAAAGATAATATAGACAACGAGAAAAAGTATACTCCATTTTTTTTCACTTTTAGTGAATTTCCGAAAGCTAATACGTTCATTCGATTATGTTTGTGTTTAGAAAACTTTTACAATCTTTAAGAAAAAAGGTGAAATATCATACAGAAGTAGATTTGCATCCTGCCTAGATAACTACCTTCCTTCTTACTTAATATGTACTTCGTTTCCCACAATTTAATTCGTACGAATTAAATTCTTGTCCTTTCTCCGAAAAGTATGCAATAATTTTAAAGGAGATTCTAGTATAAGTACTCGTATTAATGATAAATAATTTAAAAATAATTTTTGAGTAAAATACAATAAAATATACATACTTTATAATCGCTTTATACTTCGATATTTCGTTACTAATTTCATACAAAAATATTTGAATTTTCTTTTTAAGTACCTACCCCGGCGTTTATAAAAAATAAAAAAAAATAGTTCAAAATAATAAAAATCAGATAAAAAAAGATTTTTCTTCTTTGCTTTATTTTGATAGTGCTCTACTTTTACAAATCTCTTGAGGCATTATTTAATATCAAACATTATATTATGACGTAAAATTTAAATTTTTCTTTTTTGTATACAAGAATACATGACACATTCATGAATAAATTTTGTTTATAAATTTATATGTGTAGGTAAGCTTGCGTGGATACATATATTCTATATCAGAAAAGTATACGTATAACAATAGTCAATTTATAAATTTTTAAATTTTTTTTTTTGTTTTTGAAAAGTTCTTACTAAAGTATAACCTAATCGGTTCTTAGTTGAAACACATTCTCAGTCAAAACTTTAACTAAGTAACATTTATCTATACATTATGCACATTTACAGTAAGGTCTTTTTACACGGATTATTGTTATGCCGTTTATATTTGATCCAAAAATTTCCAATTTAAGTATTTGATCCAACCATTGAAAAAACTATATGTATGTTTGTTTGTTCAAGAAATTTGGCTTGTTTAGAAAATCCGCGTATATATAAAGTTTTCAAAAATCGTGGAACACTCAAAGTTCATTTAATTTGTTTCATTAACATATAATGTTTATGGATGTAAAGGACATTTGTGATTTGTTTTAAAAGTGAGCTTTTATAATTCGAGATTTCTCTTTTTAGATGATGCTTAACATCGATCACTTGCTTTTATATAACTCGTATTGAAACTCATTGACGTTTTGTTGATTTGGAATTGAGGTTTTGTTTATTTTTACATAATAAGTGGCGAATTTTCCAGTAAAATGCAGTACATTTTTATTTCTTTTTTCAATAAAATAAAATGATAATTTATTGGGATTCAACGTGAAATATGAATGGATAAACATTATATACATAAAAATTAAATTTAATGAAGAAAGGAATTAGGTTTTGTAACAAGTTGACTTGCGAAATATATGAACACGCAAATTGCATAGAATAGCAATAATGCAACAATAAAAATAAATAAAAGCAACAATAAAAAATCTAGTTTAGTAAAAGTGTTGCAGAAGATTATGAAAATGAATTTTGAACACTTCCTTTCAATTTTAAGAAAGTTAGAAAGCTCCATGTTAATATAACCAGAAAAGTGTAAATTTTTCTCTTAGTAGAACTTCCCTTTGTGCCATCAGAATTCCCTGAAAAGTTCGACTGTTAGTTTCGGTAACAATCAGAAGTCAAATTTCAATAAATTCCATCAATTGGTTTCGTAGATTTGGTAAAAAAATGTAAAATCGACCCCAAGTTTCGTTCCCAACTCCAGTAAAAATGATGTCAACGAAAGACACAGAAACCAAACAACCAATTGTCAAAAAAATTTAGAGAGATCTTTTGATTAATTGACTTAGACAGCAAACATAAACACCTACTTTGTTTTTCAAATATTTTAATAAATATACATACATATGTATATAAATTTGTGTGGATGTGTGTGTAAATTACTATAATTATCCAAACAGACACCTTCGTCTTGTCAATATTTGAAGTGAAAAGGAGGAAAATAATTAAATTGTGAACGCAAATATGCAACGGAAAAGGAAATTTTTTTAAGTTTTTATTTTCGTAATCCTAACTTTTCCTCAAAGATTTTAAATGAGAAAATTCCACTATTTCAATTAATTTTATCAGCCAAAAAGTACTATAAATATTGTATCGAAAAGCTCAAATATCTCATTAGTCGTCACAATTTAAAATATGGGAGTTAATCGTATATAAAATATATAAAAGCTTTTATGAATGTTAATTTTTGGAATTCATAAGAATGCGAAATTTGTTGTGTTCAGATACGCATATTTTGAATTTTGTAAGTTACACGCTTTATGTACTTATTTAACTTTTTAGTTTCGAGTAACGAAATCTTTTAGTTGCAATGTAAAGTGGATGTTGCGTAAGAAATAGAACTTCATTACTAATTAAAATTCATATTTCAGAATATACAATTTTATAAAGCAAATTACAAGACAGCAGGGAATTTCAGGAAAAAATAAAAAATAAATTGTTTGGCATTTGACGCTTTGGTTTGGTATTCATTAATTCGGTTAGGGGTATTTAGCTAATTGTGTTTTTTTAGGTCTATTTTCATAATGTTTGAAAAAAACGAACTGAATATTTGCGAGAGAAAGCATTTCGATTTTTATTTCAAGTTTATAAGTAAGTTTATAAGTATTTATAAGTAATCATTTTGCCAAATAAACGATTTAAGTGAATTTCAAAGTCGATGACTTCAAGTGCCATAGTAACGTCATTAGCCCAATTAAATTTTTCAAAATGAATTTGTTTTTCTGTTTTTTTGATATATTTTCTTTATTAAAGAAAAAAAATGAAAAATTAAGAAAAAGTTTGAAACCATTGAGAATTGCTTTCTTTATAAAAAGCCAGAAAAAGTTTTGAAATTTGAAATAAGCAAAAACACAAATTAAAAAAGAAATCCTAAAAATTTAATGCTGTTTTGGTTTCTCACATATCCGCAAAAATTTTCTTTTTTTTTAGGTCAAATCTTAAATTTTCTAAATGCTCTAGTACACCACCACTTAAAAAAAACTTTTTATTTAATGGGAACTTCAATTTTTTGTATGACGGTCTAAACTATCTCAAATTTCCAAAGTTTTTTATTTTTGTTTTCTTTCTGTGTGCACAAGTTCAGATTCCTTCTTTTATGTTTACCTTAAAAAGTGAAATAGCAAAAAAAAATTAGAGTAATAATTTTTTTTTTACAGTATGAGTAGGGTTGAAGTTTTAGCTATACAATATAGTTTTTTTTCACTAATCATATTATATTTTCGAGTAAATACAGGTTGCATGGGAAGTTTGCTATTCCTTAACCATATGCCTAACTAACTCAATAATTATGTTTCTTAACCCTTAAACCAAAGAATCCTTTTAGACATTTGAATGGTGATTTATTTCAATAGAAGTTACATTTAATAAAGTTGGGTCAAACCAATGGTTTGTATTTCAGCACTTTTCCCTTCAACAAGTGGAAATACTGCTTTTAAAAACAATCTATGTATATCTACCACACTATTAAAATTATTTTCATTCGTATACGAAACTATTTCTAAGATTGCATAAGTATATTTAAGATGAGCGATTTATGCAGTCTTTGAAATAAAGCAAAAATAAATTTAAAGAATGGTTAACATAATGCTCGATTTTAAGGGTTAATTGCGTGGGTTAAGAAAATTAATCATGTTTTCCAATGGCATGGAATTTACCTTTAACTTTCTATAGAAACTTTACTATTTATAGAAATTTGGAAAAGGTTGCGGTTTCGGAAATATAAATCGTTCATCCTAAATATATGCAATCCTAGAAATAGTTTCGCATATGAATGAAAATAATTTTAATAGTGTGATAGGTATACATAGACTGTATTTAAAAGCAGAATTTTCACTTGTCGAAGGGAAAAGTGCTACAATACGAACCATTGGTTTGACCCAACTTTATTATCACAAATAACATATAAAAATGTAAATTTAGTGAGGTTAAGTAAGTTGTGTTTTTTGAAATTCAGATTTCCGTTACGAATTCATATGATATCTGCCTCAAGCTACAATTTCTCTATGGTTAATATTTTTCCATCACAAAACATGTAATATGAGACATATATAAGTGTTCAAATGCTTATTTCAGTTCAATAAAAGATTTGACAACCTTTTCTTTTGTACTATATCATCTAGTCAAAGTCTTGTTCGAAATTGTTCGTCTGAAATAGTTCATCTTTTTGTTTGAAAAATATTCTGCTGAACCTTCGTTATTTCCAATGATTTTTTTGGTATCAAAGTGTCCCATGATTAAAAATAATCAAATTTTAAATTAAAAACTTAAATTAAAAAATTTTCTTAGTTCACGAAAACTTACGAAATTTTTACAGATGAGTATAATATGCGCAGCAAAATTTTTGTTTGCGCTTAATAGATTTGTATACATGTTTTTTTTTGCTTTAAAATGATCAAAATGAGTAGTAAGTGCCAAATCTTAAATTATATTTTGAATTTAGTGATTTTACACGAAAAATTTATTTTTTCTTCAAACAATAAAAATCTAATTAATGTGATGTACTCGGTTTTAACCATAGATGATTATTAAAAAAAAGTTTTTTCCTTATTCTTATACAATTTTTTTTTCTAATTTTACCACACTACTATCAAGCAATGATTGTGAATGCAATGTTAAATGTTTTGTGAATGCAAAATTTTTAGAAACCATGTCTTACTTTACTTTAATTCGAACGGAAATTCTATACTTACTTTAGTTTAGGAAAGTATAAATATTGTATATGTATAGTAGTTATTTATATGAAGACTATATGCATTTAGTTATTGTTATGTTATATTTAAAGAATTTTTAATGT